CGGACTATTAGAGTACGGCTGTATAATGTACACATACATAAATAGGAGCGCGTTTAAAACCATGTTGACGAAAATAATTTGCCGGCAGCTGAAAATCTATGAAGTATTATTATTATATTAGGAAAAACACCGTATTTATTATCTATGTTGATCATATTATGTACGATATTATAATGTATAAAAACATGAAAATATAAAATAACGTGGTTTTGTGAATTTCTTGCGTGGGTTTTCAGCGTATTATAGGATTTGTCTTGCCCACCGAATTTGACGCGTTTCCGACCGGTTGAGCTACTGAATTATATAGGTACACATACGATTGCGCCCTAGGGGTGGTGTTTAACAAGTTTTATTTTACAAATTATATAATAGGTCAGCTTTTCGAATCTCGTGTAGCACCGCTTTTATATATATAAAATATAATATTGAATAATGAATATAGCTATATACCTATTATTATATGTTTTAATACCTATAATACCTAATGTGTACACGTTATCGGGCCCGAGGGGACAGTGTGCAGGGCGGTGGAGGTGAAATGTGTATATATTATCGGAGAGGAAAAGTAAAAAAAAAAAAATAAATAAATAAAAAATTAACGTCGCGCCGCCCGCGGTTATTAATTGCGCCGTCTCGTGGTTGTTTCGGGTCGGCCGTGCGGGCGTGACGGTTAATTAACAGCGATAAATTAGTAGTGGAACAAAAATGAAAAACAAAATGTAAATTGCCATTGTCAAAACAATATAATAAAACGTAAATACGTATTAAGTGTATTCGTGTATATATACATGTATATACATTTATAATACGATATACCTACATGTTTATATACCTTTATGCGAGCGTATACTATATTATGTATATATATATATATATATATATGTGTGTGTGTAATCCATACCTGAGGCCTAGGTAGGTTTATGCATACGTCGGTCAACAGATGGCGTTCGTTGTCGATAAAATGTTTATAGGGATAGTATGTGAAATTATTCCCCATATTATTATGTGTATATGTAACTATATAATTATCTCCGCGATCTTATCCGCTTGCTGTACACACGCGATGACATGTCCAGCTGTCTTATCAACCCGACGAAATATCGTTATCAAGCGCCTTTAATTATTAATTACTGCTCGGACGTCGTACCTATATATATACATATATTATTTATATCATTTATTATGTAGATATTTATGAGTACACTTATATATATTTATACTTCTACATACAGCACCACTACAGACCACATCCAAAATCCAAATGCGCGTGTCATTACGTTATTGTATTATAATTTATTACAATAATTATAATGATGATGAGGGTATATATATGTATACCTACCGCGGGTACTACCCCATAAGGGTAACCAAAATAGACTTTCTATCATATACACCAATCGTACCAACTATTCAGTATAGTTATTATCGAATAAAACTTGAAATCATAAATTAATTTGTCATTACGAAATTTTCTTGTAAATTGTTGACTTTTTATTTCAATTTTTTTTTTGCTTTAGTTCAATATTATTAAATAAAAGTCGTAGTAAGTATTTGAAAATTAAAAATAAACTTACGTTGGATTGTAGTGGAATATTAAAAATTTGAAATTCGTTTGCAAGTGAACTTCGCGATTAATTTTTTTATATTTTCAGGAGTTTCATTCGATTACTAATAACAATACACGCGTATGATAGTCTATACGATTAACATAATCTAGATAGATCTATCAGCGAGGACTTCCGTTTTTCTCTTTTATTTCGATATATATTTATAAACATATTGTAAAAATTAAAGTGGTTGATCATATATTCTCGTATGTTTCGATTGTTGTTTATGTATCATTAGGTATATTCAACATGGGTATGTGTAATCTTAGTGTATCTGTGCATTGCGCGCGCGTTCGCGTAGGAAGATAGGTGGTCTCGCCGTCATCCTGAGAGGCGGTGCCAATTAATTTCAAACAATAGAGGTGGATACAAAATATAATAATAATGATAAGCTTCCCAAAAACGTTTTTGTTTTGTTTTTATCCTTTTTACATAATATATGGATAGTTTTTTATTAGTCCCGGACCAGATTATATTACAAAAATAATAATAGTAATAATAATAATAATAATAATAATCATTTTTATACTGCATACTATACTATACTATACCGCGATCTAATATGTTTCTCGTTACAATACAGCAAAAACCGGCAATTAACGTTTAAATTACCGGACGCGTTTGTCTAAAATGAGAATAATATAATAATTATGATAATAATCGTCCGAACGAGACCAGTCGCGCGCACGCGTGTTAGCAGGTATACGTTTCGGTCGTGTAATTTTCCGAGGTGGAGTATATAATAGTTTTGAATACGGGATTTGAAGATTGTGGCGTGAGGGGTAGGAGACATGCGTACGGTTTGTAAAACGTCATGTAATTTTTCGGTTAAAAACAAATTGTTTCCGGTAATTATAATATTTATTGCGTGCGACTTACACACACTATCACGATAAAATTATGTGTGAAAATCGTTGTAAAATAAAAATTTAAAATCAACATACGTTGAAATATTACCACCGCCTACTATATTATAATATCATTGTATTCAACATCAAATAATTATAATATACTTCAATTATTTTCCGTACACTGCACGCACATTGTATAACAATATAAGTTATAAACGTATAATATGTGTGTCAAAATGTAAAGCATTATGTATAATATGGTTATAAAATGCACTGCCTGCACAATGATGAATATTGTAATACGAGTTAAACGGTCAATCAGTATTAACTAATGCCTACGGGTTTATCATATGGTTTAAATTACTAACTGTTATCTTTAAGTATATATAGGTGTGCATGGTATATAGTATATATTGTACTATATAACTATGTAACTACACAATATAATACGTATTATTACTATAATTTTGAGTTATTTTTATTGTTGTGCGCGCAGCGTGGTAGGTACCTATTAGGTACGTTGAATGAACGATAAAATAATAGTATGTATTAAATATTAATACACAATAATATGGATTAGAATAATAAGTGACTTTTATTTAAAATAACGCGGTTGCTGTTAAACGAACGACATGAATAATATTATATTAATACCATTGAATATATCATTTTTATATTGAATTTCCGCATTTCGTCCTTTTCAACACACATATTATGCGTATAACCGTATAACGATGCATATAAAAATATTATATGCATCGTTTCATGCAAAAGCGGTGCAATAGTATACTATATAATATATAGTATATATTATACCTATACGTTCATGTGTTTTAAAAATTCATATATTATTTTATTCGTTACTCAGTCGTCATTATTATGGCTTGCTAAACGATCGGTTATCGTTGGATGGTATTTATTTATTTCTAACAATTATTTTTACTTAAATGATAAACATGTTTTTTTTAAACATCTTTTTTCTGCTGCTACAGCACTCCAGGCCACATATAGGTACCTCTTGAAGGATACGTTCGATCAAGACTTGAGTTTAAACGATTACATTATATTCATAAATCGTAACTCATACGAAATGATTAATCAAACAGTTATTATTTATTAATTATATAATTATTATACTATATTAAATACGTACTCGGGAATTTGTCTTTTCTACACACATACACACACGCGCGCGCGTGACATATAATAATTATTATACATTTATACACTTATGTTCAGTGTATGTGAATATGATTTTGTATAAGAATTGTTATAGTAATATATGCAATATGTTGTGAGTATACGTTAGCTGAGTAGTCTGTGTGCGATAACCCGACCTGCGATGGTGTTCTCGATAATTCTTATGGAAATCAAACGAATGCGATGTGATAAAATGTTAGTAATGACAGCGACATTGCGACCATCGAGTAAACCACATAAGATAATATGGTATATTATTTAGATTCTATATTATGTTCTCGGTTGCCGAATTACGGTCAGCTCAAATTTTATTGCGATGACCTTTATAAGTTTGACCAATTTTAATGTGTATCTGATAAATAATGTTTAGTATAAAATAATTTTATATAAGCGATCGATTTGAATGTGAAAATATATCTTTGTTTAGTAATTGATGAATGATTATAATGTCTAACTGTGTTCTCTTCAAATAATAACATATTTACGTCTAAGCATCATTTTAAATTCTTTCGTACAGTCGTATACGTCATATAATTACCTGTTGGCTGCTGCACACTATAATATACTTTATGTTATGTACGTTTAAGATAGGTAGTAAGTACCTACCTAATTTTCGTCTGGGAGTAGTCGCACACAGGATGGAACGAAAAACAATTTAATAGAAAAACGGCGGGGCGACGATTGGAATAAAGTATATAATATATTACAGCGAGACAATATTATTGAAGTCTCGCCTACACCGACTAATATATTATGTTTAATTTATATAACAAACTCTGCATTGTCCAATTGTATATTCTAATGAAGCTGTTAACACACACGCACACACACGAGCGCGCACATACGTATTCATGTTCACATTTATAATATATATATATATTATATTTGTATGTGGTGGGTGGAGGGGAGATATCATATTGGATTCGTAGGCCCTTGTCTTGTTATAATAATATATTCCAAACGAGTTTCGAAAATAAATTTATTTGACACCGCCGTTGAATATTTTATCACTGTTGGCTTTCAAATTAGAGTGGGTACAATGTTATCAGGCGCAAAGATTTTCGGTATAGACCCCATGCCGGGTCGTCTTCGTGACACAATCCTTATACGCTCCTGACATCCGATTATCTTAACAACCATTAATAACAATTTTATGCAACCGTGTTTTGTTGGTTGTCGGAAAATGGTGTTATAAAAGCAAAGCGTAATAATATCCAACAAACAAACAACACTGCCACATAATATAATATTATTATTACTATGATAAACGCGTTCAGCTGCTAACTGATTCAGTTAGTTATTTCTACAAATATTAAATTAAACATTTTTTTACTTATAACAGGTCCAGACATACCAGGATTTTTATTACAACCCTTCAGAAAACCCAAAAGAATAAGGACCGCTTTTAGCCCCAGTCAACTGCTTAAATTGGAACACGCTTTTGAGAAAAACCATTACGTCGTTGGTGCCGAAAGAAAACAGTTGGCTCAATCGTTAAGTTTAACCGAAACACAGGTGAGTGTCATATGAATATAATATAATTATAATGTATAATACTATTCAATACAATATGTATATTATTACTACCTAATTAATAGGTACCTATTTTAATTATAGATATATTTAATACCACACATTATTTTTTAAGTCGAGGTCAAGCTATCTCGTATATTTACGGATGCGCTGTTTACATTATAATATAAGCACCTGTATGTTTTTATAATTATTTCAAATTATTTTTTTGTCTGACAACCGCAGACGTTTTAATTTTGTTTTCGGGAACCCGTCGTGTTGTATTTTAACGTTGTTTGTTTATATTCAAATATACACATTACAAAGTTAAAAAAAGATAATTTACTTAGATTTCTCATTGTCAATTTAATATTTATAAATTTATAATTTTAATACATAAATATTTATTACAACATAAAAATATTAACATTTTTACCTTTATCGACTAAATAGTTTTTTCTTTTCATCAATTTCAACTAGTTACATTTACAATAGTCAATGGGTATAATTTAATTAGTAATTTTAGATATTTTTTATTTATTTCATACTATATTATTATTTTTATTAATATGACGAATTATCTGCCACCGCATGCATCTATGTTATGCTATATGTAGGTATTGTGTATCCACCGCCGCAGCGTAGTCTAATCGGATTGCGTCCGTCTGCAATTACTTTATGGGTCGTTATATTATTATTTTTTGACGTTAAGCATGTACAATGCGGGAGTATGTTTTGATACCTTGACGTCGGTGATCATTGTCTGTTGTCAACACTGCAATAATGCGAATATAATATTTTTCATGTTATAAAGCAGAATGCGCAATAAAAAAAAAAAATAATAAATACATATTAAAAAAAAACACATCGTCTAGAAGTTTAGGCATTAAAACATCTACGGGTGTACGTACATATTACACACATCACACGCACACTTATTATATTAATATAATATAATATAATAGCATTATACCAGTAACGTCGTTTTACTGTTAACCTTTTGAAAGGATTATAAATATATGGACGGATATTATATATATTATTATGGGAGTCAGATTAAACGGGTACTCGCTAATCGCACGGAGGGATGAAAAGAAATCATAATGGCTGCCATGCCGCTTCCACTCTCGTCACTTGTTGTTTGACAAGAGGGTGTTAAACAGTGTTGTTAAATAACGGTTTAGATAAAATTGTTCTCGAAACGAAAATGCGTTTTTAATCATTTTTGCTGGCTATGTAGTAAATCTTGTTACGTCTATACGGACCCATAATACATATAATAATAATAAATATATATTATATATAATTACATCGTGTTATTATGGTCAATCATCTGTAATTAAATCGTTTATGATTTTTTTTTTTTTTTTTTTATCACTGTATACAACTATACTAATTGGTTACAAAACGTTCTCGAGAATTTTTTCATTATAATATAATATGTCATCATAAAAAAGTGGACTATAAAATTTAAAATGAATGTTGCCTAATTAAATGTTTACTTATATATATATATATATATATACATATACGATCATCGTGCTCTTAGTGTATACCTTACTAATCTCACGTGTTTATCGCAATCTTCCTGTAAATTTATGTGTTACAGTGTTGATGTATTATATTATAGTTATTGACAAAATACGCAGTAATTATCGGATGCCAGAGACGCGTTCTGAAATAATAAAAAAAGAAACACGACGAAATTATTAATTATAAATTTGATTATCCGAAATTGAGGTCAGACCTTTGGCTCGTTGCGATGATGATTACATTCATATTATGTACGATGTTTAAAGGGAATATTATATAGTATATGCCCATCAACCAATTTTTTTAATTCAACTATATTTTTAGTTATTATTTATATATATATTACATATTATGTAGATTTATATATTTTTTTGAATATATATTATGGTAATAACCCCGTACACGCATCCATTACAAACAAAAAAAGGTGATCGGACAAAAAAAAAAATAATACAACTCCCTAACCTACATATAAGACTATAACCATCACCCCTTTTGCGTAATCCAATTGGATTGTCTTATACAGTTATACATAATACTATCGCGTATAAAATAACACTCGTGTAAATTAGTTGTTATTCTTTTCGGACCACGAAGGGACGCGTACCTACTTATGCATATATATATATATATATACGTGCATGCGTAACGAGGGGGATAAATTTCGAGTGCCCTTCTGGGACCGTTTCGACCAATGACGGAGGCGGGTACCATATACATTCACCCTAAAACGGTAGTCAACTCGCGAGGGCAAATTATAATAAGAGGCGTCGTTAAATTTTTTTTACGCACCCAACAGCCCCAAACGGCGTTTTATTAACACGAAACGATTTATCTCGCTCACTCCCAATCCCAAAGGACGCACCGCGGCCACGACCGTATAAAATATTATATTGTGTGTCAATTTGTGTTGCTTTTTACATGTAATATTTTTATATATATTTGTATTATAGACGTATATAATAGGTAAATAAATAATAATGCATCACGAAATGCGTATAATAATATATATTTATAGTCCAATGATATTTAACGATAGGATTTATCTAGGTAACACACACTATATATATACAAATTTATAGCTGACAGAAACGATAAAATATAAAATCAAACAATTATAATTATTGTATAGACTGTACTATGTACATATATGTATAGATACGGCTGTAATATAATCACACGGAATACAATATTAGTCCAAGTATATGAACATGATTTAAAACAATTGCCATGCTACACGCCGATGCAGCGGCCCTCGCTCATATATATTATGTTTTATTACTATTATAATATATAATGTTTAACAAAACCCGACCGGAATCGAATACTCCACCAGCGCATTATTTTGGCACTAATTTTTGTTGGTTCATATATCTGTGTATACTGTACATAAAATTTAAATATATATATGCTCCCATATTATTGCACTATGCGTCTGCATAATATGATACTGTGATAATAATTATTTTATGAATAGAATTTATGATTCGCGTGCACATCGACAATGCGAATTTGTGTTTTTTTTTTAAATGCGTTTTATTTTTATTACCGCTGTGCCAACGGTTTAGTAGTTATATTAAAATAATATTGTATGTATGGGTAGGAACCTTATATTGTTATAAGCTAGCAAAACTTTTGTCACTTTTTTGTATTTTATACAATGTTAATGGGGAATAGAAAAATACATGATTGTTATACGATATGTATATGATAAACCTACCTGTGTAAAGATACCCAATTTTATTAAATCATACGTCATAATTTTTCAATAATCAAATCAAACTAATAATGTATAGGTAATTTTTGAACTTGGAAATACATATAACTCAAATTTGTTCGAATAATAGAATTTTGGTAACGTTCATGTAGCGCAAGTATTGTTATGTCGAATATACCGATATTTATATTATCTTAGGCTTATAAACTTAGGCATTAATATTTTATATTTTCATTAATCGTAATACTTTGTATATTGTATATATAGGGATAAAATTGAAATATAACCTCTTTTTTTTATCGTGATCATGCTAAAATTCATGACATTAATATAAACGACAGTATATTATAGACTATATTATACAATAAATATAATACATAAATCCAGTTTCTCCGCGGTGCAATAAAACACGACCTCTTGGAAAACATTCAAATTTCTGTATCATTATATATGATGTAATCTAAATATAGACATCTGTGAGATACAATATTTTAACAGATTATTAATATAAAATATAAGTATTTATTCAAATTTTTATTTATGGAATAAAAGCATATTATTAGATTCAAAAAGATGTGGTGATTAAAGAAATTTTTTCTTAATTAAAAATATATTGTTATAATATATTATGTTTTTCTATAATTATTAATTGAATAATTTTTCGAGATCGAAATCGATATTTGAACAAATAAATTCTGTATGTTCTACTTTTTGCAAGGTGTAGTAGCGAGAATACTGTTAATTATATTAGCTATTATGAACATAGGTATTTATAGGTAAACAAATATAGTTATTGCGGTAATACGATGAGACCTGAAGAAGATTTAATTGGTTTAAAAACAATTTCAATAATTAGAATTTGAGTATGGATACATTTTTAAGAATAAAACGGGATTGAGGATATTTTACAATATATATTATATATATTATATTGTATACACACCATATATACGTGTACATAATATTATAATATTGCCGTTTTCAACGGCCATTTTGAATTCTGAAACGGTTCATCCACCACTGCACATATATGAACTGTTTTTATCGTTTTACTTGATGTCATTATAAACATTACACTGATATGCGCATTGGTACATATATGATATGAGCTAAGGGACATGTAGTTCAATCGTATATATATATATACATATTTTGTATACATGTATGTATTCGTGTTCCCGACAATAACTTAGAACATAATTCGCGTGCCGTAATAATAATATAACGACGGTAATATAGCGCGTATGTCTAACATTGTGCACGAAAAACGTTCCCCCGAGATCGGCAGCATGATGCTGTGGTATTAACGGCGCTGGGGGTTTTTAGGGTTGGTGAGGATACGATTGAAGGGCGCGGAGCGCGTCATCGGCGTTTAATGTAGTGGAAAACTGAGCTTGTTTTATATATGTCTATTAATAATAAGCGAATAAGCTACGTATAACAGTACAATATATAATATGCGCATGTATCAGACTGTATATATTATATTATGTAGGAATTACTCCTTTGAAGTAGGGCGAATATTGCAAAACCAACATGGGTCATTTGATATAAAATACTTAATGATATATCATAATGCATTGTTCTTCCGTCTTATTATTATTATCATTATCGTTGTCACCATATTCGATAATTTCGTATCCGCAAAACCTTACATTACTCATAGAGTTGATTTTTCTGTGACCTTTAAAATATTCTTATTTTTAAATAAAACTGTGTGATGGTTTAGTAAAAATCAATTTAGAATTGAAAA